GGGCATTCGGCCGGGCTGGAGCGTAACCTCCTTGAGCCAGGACTAACTTGCTCGCTCCCTTCCTGGGAGTTGGGGTAGGTCAGAAGGCCGACTTAACCTTTGGAGCAATTCACATAGATCTTGACATTTTGCCTAGATGATGGCAACTTGTTTAATTGCCCTAGGCCAGGGTATTAGATGCCGGACAAAGGAAAGAATGGGATTGCATTTTGTGCCCCCCGCATCTGCTGAGAGAGAGGATGGGCCAGCCGTTGGGGGAGGGGAGGGGGTGGAGGTTCCTTTAGAGCGGTCCTCGGTGGGCCTCATTTCATCGAACAAATTCCTGAAAAGTGTTTGCCAGTTTTGGTGAACGCTGTATTAGATAGGGCAGGGGTGCTATTTTAAAGAACCCTGTGATTAGTCCCATAAAGAAGATCATCTCCTGGATTGCAGACCAGTCGAGTCTCTGGGGTGAGTCTGGAGTTTCTTGGACCACAGTGTGCTCCTGGCTTGCCAGCCTCTCCTTAGCCTAGAGCCCTTCGGCAAGGTTTGCTGTAGGCCCTGATGTGCTTTCTTTGGTGCTGCTGCTCGGAGTGGATCCTTGGGCCTGGAGTGAGCGGGCCAGACACGGTTATAACTGCAGAACGTGTGAGGGGCTGGCTGCTGCTGTAGCAGTGTTGGGAGAGCCCCAGCAGGGTAGTCGGCGCTCCTTCTTGGGCACCGTGTAGGACCCTGAATATCCATGCCTAGAAAAGGAGAGCGCGGCTCTGGACAGCTGGTCCTGGGGAAAGCCGTATTCAGGTACAGCACGTGCTGTACGAGCTTTGTTAAGAGCTAGAAACTTGGATGCCATATTGGCACGCTTTGGCCTCCCGGACCCACCAAAAGTCACCCCCGGAAGGGGCCTTCCTCTCCAGCATTTCTTAGCAACTGTCGGCAAACGTAATGAAAAGATTCTGTGGGCAGATAAATTTGGGGAACCCAGGGTTAAAGCAAGTCAGACGTGTTTCTTCATGGTGGAACTTCTGGAGTCTTTAATGTGTATCTCGATTCCGCGGAAAGGGCAGAGACTGCATTCTCTCTGGCTTGACCCCAGAGTATCTCTAGACAGCCTGTGTCCAGCCGCACTTTGGAAACCTCACCCAGGAGCAGTCTCTCTCAAACTTGGACTTGTACATCATCTCCTGAAGGGCTTGTGACATGCAGGCGCTGGGGTTTCTCTCCCAGAGCTTTCTGCATTTCTGACAAGTTCCCAGGTGACGCTGGTGGGCCAGGGGCCACACTCTGAGAATCACTGGTCGCTCCTTACACTGAGGCAGGCACCTGGTAGGCTCCTCTGCTGCTTCTAAGGCGGGTGCGGTGAGGCCAGGCAGTCGCTAGGAGGGAGGGCTGGGGAGGAGAGCACAGGTCCGTAGTCTCGTTGCTTGCTCTGCGCTGCGCTGCTCACAGCCCTGCCGGAGGGCTGAGGGCCCCACTCTAGAGACCGGTCAGGGTCTTCGTGCTGCGGCAACATGATTGGGAATGTGAATTCTGTGTCTGCTTTAACCTCTGGGCCTTAGCTTCCTCATCTGTAAGCGAGGAAGGAGGGGAGGACAGAAATGACTTTCACGGATACTTACTACTTTCCCTAGCATTCCATTTTATTTTTGCCCTGGGCTGTTTCTGTTTCTGGGGGTCCTCCTCTCCTGTCCGAGCTCTCTCACACGTGTCGCAGGAGCTGGAACCATCCATGCTATGGCCCTGGAGACCTCAGTGTCACTTTGCGGGGCCGCTGTGTTTCCAAGAGCATTCCCGAAGTGTGACGGTGGAACCCCGAACAGTGTGGGCCCTGGATAGTGAACCGGAGCGGTCATGACTCAGCGTTACCGAGTTTGAGGGGAGGCGGGGCCCAGGGTCTTCCGGGCTGCTTATGGGCTCGCCGGCCCCTGTGCGTGCAGTGGTGTGCTTAGCCGCCTGGCAGCGTGAGCAGCGGTGCTGGTGTGGGTCACAGACATCGGGAGAGGATCTGCTAGAGACCTGAGAAGCCCCCAGGATGGTAGGCAGGGTTGTGAGTGTGCTGTTGGTGTGTGTCGCTGTGCGCCAGCTCACGTGCATTTTTCTACAGACAGGATCCTGTCTTACACAGAAGCTGCATAGACCTACCCCTGCTGCATCGTGTCTGGAGAGGGAGTCAGGGAAGCCCAGGTTTCCCCAGTGTTGATGACGCACAGAAGCAGCCCCTAGGCAGTGGGCAGGAATGGCCACTGGTGACCTGGAGCCAGAAACCACGGCAGAGCAGGCAGCCCAAGTGGGGCCCGTCCCCCCACTTCTGGAGGACGGCAGTAGTTAGCACAAAATAGATTGTTCACCTGGACCGGCTGCGGCAACTCCGTGTAGCCCACGAGCTCTGCTGCTCTGCTCTGCTGCACAGGAATGCGGGGGAGCAGCTCAGCCTGGGCCCTGGGGGGAGGCACTGCCCTCTGCTGGCAAGTGGGTGCCACTGCACCCCTCAGACCTGCAAGAGGCTGCGCGCGGGTTTGGAGGTCTGTGGAATGCGGTGAGAAGAGCCACCCTGTTGGCAGAGGCAGTGGTGTCCGAGCCATGGAGCACAGAGTGATGAATTTCAGGGCCTCTGTTGACTCCATCACCGCATCCTCCCCGAGAATCAGCCAGCGGGCCATCTTCAGCTCGGTGAGCTGAGTTCAACTTCTCCCAGACCCCACAGCCCAGAGTCAGCCTGCTTGTCGCCCCGGAGTGCTCAGGTGTTCTAGACCGGGCTGACTCCAGGGCTCCGGGTGCGAGGACAGGCAGGGGGAAGAGGCCAGCATGCACCAGAGGTTGGCTGAGGCTGGGGTGGTGTGTGGGAGATGAAGGGCTTCCTTCTCGCAGTCACCGTCACCAAGTCATGCCATCCACTGCGCCCCCACCCCCCTGGTCAATCCCTCCTATTCCTGTGTCTCTGAAACACCAACATGTCTTGGCCTCGTGGGGCTCAGCGCCTCAGCCCTACACCCGGGCATCACCAGTCGCCACCACCACGCTCCCTCCGACTCCAGTGCACAGACCCATCCCCTCCCGCTGTGTGTTTAGGTTCCCAGCCCCCCACCTGCCATGGGGCTGTGCCCCATCCCCTCCTTCACCACCTGGCTCAGGAAGGCAGCTCCAAGTCTGCCCTTTGCTTAGTGAGCAAGTGGACTCAGATGCACAAAGCCATAAGCCACGGGTAGGTATGAAATTTTTGTCTTTCTCTCACTGACCTCCTCCTCCCTTTTGCCTCCTCCTCCCACACCCCTGTACTCCTCCCTCCCTTGTCCTTCCCATCCTCCCACACCTCCCTCCTTTATTTCTCTTCTTTATTCTGCATACACTCCTGAATTCCCAAGAGGACATGTTTTTAGCCTTCATCCCCGTAATTGCTATTGAGGGTTGAAAACGACTCTGGCCCTGCCTTAGATGAACTTCAGTACCTGCTGCTGGCTCCCGAGGAATACAGCTTTGCCCTCTCACAATGTGGGGGACCCCTCAAGCTGGTGATCTGATTTCTAGGTGGTCCCCAGAGGATCTCCCATGAACAGCTGGCCCAAGGGGTTCTCTGAGCTGGATTCCTGGTATGGGGAGAAGCTCAAAAAGCATCTTTGGTCTTTTTAAGTCTTCGTTTCCCAAGTAGTTGAGGCCTCAAGTTGGGATCGAGTCCCCCAGTGTGGCCCCTCACCCTGTGTTGAGAGCCAGAGAGGAAGAAGGCCCATGGGGCAGAAGGAAATGCTGAGGACTCCTGCGTGTGGCCCACGACCAATGGCCGGGATCCTTTGTGAGCTCTGTCTGGGGGCCCTCTCCTAGACAAGTCACGAGAGCTAGTGGAGCCCGGGCCTGGATCCTGACCCCACTGGGCTCTGTGCCCGTGGGATGTTACTCAGAATACCTGGATCTCAATTGATTTTCCTACCTGTAAAATGTTAGAAGAGGCAGGGGGTGTCCTCAGCCCCCCAGAGCACCCCTGCCCCCCAGTTCTGGGGTTGCCTTGCAGGGTTCAGGCCCCCTGCATGTCCACGTCTGCCAGACGCTGCTGTATCTGTTACGCTCTGGAGATCTGAGTAAGGTGCCGTGTGAAAAGGGGGTTCTCCAGCAAAATCTGTTTTATTAAACCATCGAAGTAGATTTATCGGGGTAAAATTCCTTCCAGCATTGCATTCTATTCTAGAATTTGGGCCATATCCAGGTCAAAGATCCGTCCTTCTCCTGCCACCCTGGGGAGGAAGCCCCTCTCCACAGAACCATCCAGACCTCCTGAGCGTCTCCCCGCTTTCATGTAATCGCTCTCCTTGCCCCCCCGCCCCAGCTGCCTGTGTTGCTCCCCGGCTTTACGGGGAGGCCCTCCCTCCTCCAGGGAAACAGGAGCAGCAGCAAATGGCCACTCCTTGCTTCTGGCCAAAGGCTGCGGGGCAGAACTGACTGCCGACAGATGGACATTTGTTAAGGCCAAAGTGCGCTTGCCCTCGGGTTTGTTTCTTTGCATTTTCCTCAGCGCAGGACCGGGAACGTTCTGCCAGGTGGACAAAGCATCACTCAGTCTATTTGTTTCGTTGCCGGCCTTCCGCTTGGAAACCTCATGGAAAAGCTGGGGCTGCAGGTCCTTCTCAGCAGAGTGAGCAGAGGGCTTGGGGTACCACATACCCCACAGGGCCGAGAAGCCAGAACCCCTTTTTTAAAAGGATAAGAGCAGAATCTCAAAGACGTCCTGGCCAGCTTGCTGGCACGGATGGGTGGCGAACTGTCGCTCCTCTGTGGGAGCAGACACGCGCCTGCACAGCCCGGGAGGCAGCACGAGCCGCAGCCTCCGCCGGGAGGGTGGGAGCCGCTGGGTCCGCTGTGCCCGCTGTGCCCCGTGAGCGTGGCCCCCGTGTGCCCTAGGGGGACGCGGAAGACCTCTCGGGCAGCTGCACCGCTTGTCCTCGGCCCCTGGGGGCAAGTGGGCCCCATCTGGGAACAGCGAGGGGGCGGCCGCGAGCCCTGGTTCACCGCCTTCTCCGCACGTGTCTTTGCAGATGCGCTGGCTCCCTCCGTCCGAAGCTACTTCTCAGGGCTGGAAGTCCCGTCAGTTCTGCTGAATACCACGTGAGTACGCGCGCCCGACAGCCCCGTGCGCCGCGCACGTCCGCCGGGGGAGCGGCGGCTCTTGCCGGAGAGTCTCCCGGGGCCTGAGACCCCGAATCGCGGTCTTGCGCGTCACAGAGCAGCGGCCGGCGCGGCTTCCGTGCGGGGCAGGAGGGGGGGTCGGACACGGGGTGACATGGTGAGCTTGGGCGAGTTGGCGCTGCCGCGCAGGCTTGCTTTCCTTCGAGGGTCTGGTCCAGGAAACCCTGATCTTGGCGCCTTTTTATTTGAGGCCTAACCTTGCTTTAGGGAACTACCGACTCAGTTTTTTTTCTGTAAATAATTTGTATGAAATTACAAACGCTGCGTTTAACTGGGTATCTTGACCGAATTTCTGTTAAAGCACTGTTACTCTGAACTCTGATGTCCGTACGGGCATCTGCCCTCAAGAAAAGTCCCTGAGATGTCACACTTCGACAGTCTATGGTTTCTGGTGCTTTCTATCACTTCTTGACAACCCAGGAAGAAAAGTGAGAGTAGGGAGAGACTGGACCTTCGTACATTTAGAAATGCTAAAATTATGTACATACCTGTACAGGATGATCTTTTGAAGGACTTGCGTGAGAAAAACTGGCCTCTGGTTAGGGTCAGGTCCACCTTCAGTGGGGAACAATTTCTGACCGTTCACAGGGGACAGACATACTGGGAAGCAGGAGCTGCCAAGCCGGCCTCATACAGGGCAGTGCCCTCCTAGTGAGGAGGAAGGAGAGCACTGAATAGGATTTTCAAAGAGTTCTGGAATTTGTTGTCCACAGGCAAGCAAGCTGCCCTGCTGACCTGAAGTCTTGCTTGGGGGGTCGTGTCACCTTCATTTCAGTTTCCAGGGTGACAGCTGAGCGTGGACTTAATTGGCTGAAGTCTTTACCGCCGTACTTGTAGAGAGCTCGGCCGGAAGGCCGGCGTCCTTATTCTGGAGGAAGGGCCTCACCACACGGGAGCATTGGTGGCGGGCATCAGGGCGGCCAGGCAGCAGACCCACCCCACAACTGGTCAGGATTCTTGCTCTGCCGGTGGGGTAATGAGTAAGTTGAGGGATATTTCTTCGCTTGCTCAACTCCAGTTACTTAGAATCGTACCTATTCCTAAGTGGCCAGAGCAACGCTAGTCCTTGGGGATGACTGGAGGCAGAGTACGTAAATGTTGCCAAGGTCAAAAAGAACACTTTTTTTTTTTTTTTTTTTTTTTGCTTGTTTGTTTTTTACCAAAAGATTCTTGGGACCCTTATTATAACACGAGCATCATAAATCTGTAAGATTAGGGAACTCAAGGATGTGACATTCCTCAAACTCATTGGAGACGGGAGCCCTCTCTTTCACAGACGCTCAGGAGACTGCCGTTTCACATAGAGCACATTTTGGGAAACCTGGCCCTAATCTCTTACCCAGAACCTAAACCAATGACACCCACTTACAGAGATCTCTGGGCCAATGGTCATTATGTTAGAGTTACCACCAATCTATTTATAATGAGGCAAAAAATTAGGACAGTGTAGTAGATTTTTTTATGCTGCTTATATTTGCCCCTTATTCTGAAATTATGTTGTATGTGTGTTCACGTATGCATTTTACATGAAGTGGTAGTATCTGTGAATGGCAATTGCATTTTAAATGTAGCTTCTTAGGGAAAAAGTCCATGGTAGATACTGAAAGTAGTTAAAATATTTTACTATTTTGTGAAATGTAAAAGTTTGCTGTTTAGGGGGTTTCTCTTCCTGGAAATAAAATTGGTAAGCTTTGAGGTATATTCTAGGGTCCATTATGTCCAGGACTCCCAAGTCCATGTACCATATCCATATGCCCATAATTAATTTTTTAAAATGACCTGTCCCTAGCGCTCTGTTCTTTGTGCACAAAAGCCTTAGTCGTTTTGTCATGAGGGACCCTGCCCCCGTTACCCGGGGCGAGGTGGGTGCAGCACTGTCATTTGGCTCCAGAAGGCACTGATCGGTTACGTGCTCCTCTGCCCGCAGGACTGTGCATCATCTGTCCGTTCTGAGAGGCTGCTAGGTGTTCACCCAGAGGGACCCAGGACTGGGTAACTGGGAATTCTGAAGCTCACGAAGGAGCTGACGGGCTGGGGTAGACCTGGCATTCAGCCGAAGCAGGAAGTTGAGGCAGTTGATGAAACCGGAAGAGAGGTCAGCAGGGCGCAGCCCTGAGGCTCACGCAGCCGTGGAGTCAGCAGAGGACGAGCAGCCTGTGGAAAACGGAGAGTAGCCCGCAGGCGCCGGGGAGGGCTGGAGCCTGGAAGGCCAATGGTGAGCTGCTGGGGTCGGCAGTAGTAGGCGGTGTAGGAAGATTGAGTCAGATGAGAGGATGCGTCCAAACCTGGCAGTGGCAGTTGGCCGAGGATGGTGGTGGCGTAAGGGCTTGAGGAAGGATTTTTTTAAGCATTTATATAGGCCCGAAGGGAAGGCATGATCATGAAGCAGCTGCACTGTTCCAGCCAGTAAGATCCTGCCCTTTGTTTCTCTCCGCTCACCCAAGTTGTTCCAGATCATCCTTCCCCACAGACCTATCCACCAGAGACCTAGAGGCAGCAGTAGCTACCAAAGAAGGCCTAGCTGTTTGCCCCTTCGCAAGTATGGCTTGTGAGGCTGCCAGACCCGTATGAAGGCGGAGTATCTTCTGTGGGCGCACGGGCAAAACTGGTCTTTCAGAAAGGCCAAATGTAGGATAGGTGAGGCCAGCGACATCACTGTTCCACATGACCTTCGTGTTTGTTGCGGGGGGGGGGGGTCCTTCTTCTGTGGGAAGGTGGCACTGAATAGAAGACAAGAGCAGGAGTGACATCAGACAGGCCGTCACTCCCAACATGTGGAGCTCAGGGGGTGGGGGGAGGGGAAGCACCCTCCAAATCCTCCACAGTCCGGGGCCTGTTTCCTCAGGGCCCTGCAGGGGTTTTTCATTTACACACTTTGTCCTTTTCCTGGGAAATCAGGGACTAGACTAGAAAAGTAAACAAGCTCTTCATCCTTTAAGTAAACATTTTTTTTTTTTTAAAGATTTTTACTTACTTATTTGACAGAGAGATCACAAGTAGGCAGAGAGGCAGGCAGAGAGAGAGAGGGAAGCAGGCCCCCCCACTGAGCCGAGAGCCTGACTCGGGACTCGATCCCAGGACCCTGAGATCATGACCCAAGCTGAAGGCAGAGGCTTAACCCACTGAGCCACCCAGGCACCCCTAAGTAAACATACATGTCTGCTATGTGCTACACAGGTGGAAAAACCTGCAGGAAGACCAGGCCTGTGCTCCTAAGGAATTCCAGTTCTAGTGGGTGGGAGTCATGGATACACATATGACAGAGAAGAGTGACTGCTCAGGACCCTCGAGGAAGGGCGTGTGAGGAAAGCCCCTCCCCAGGGGGCGGGGGTGTCGAGTTTCCTGTCATCAGTGGCTTCGTGGCGTAAGAGCAGCAGAGGGGTGGGTGTCATTTGGGTTTTCATTTTTGCCGCATCCTGCTTGATGGTGTTTAGTCTGGCTACGAGCTCTGTCCGAGCATCACTAGAGTTTGGCTAACGGTCCCGCCACGGGATAGACAACCCCAGATGACAGGATAATCACTGAAAACGATCCATTTCCCAGATGCGTTGACAACAGGAAAGCATGAGCAAGTTTTTAGTAACTCTTTAGAGGGAATGATGACACAGTCTGCCTTGTTGGGTATCCAAATGTAGTTAAATCAAAAAAACTGAGTGAGTTAGGAGCTGGGGCGTTCTTTGAGAACTCTGACGGGCGTTGAGAACTCTGAGAATCTCCCTGGCCTAGGACCAAGACGATGCACAGAAATTATAAGCACATGTAGTTACAGTGTCAACGAACGAGAGAAGGACACGAGAGATAATAACACCAGACTGTAAAGCTGTGTATTCCTCGTGTTTTGATTTGGGAGGACCAGCCTCGTCTGTCTCTGGCTGTGAGCACGAGGGCCTTGGGGATAGCCATTGTCCGGGGAGCAGACCAGGGAGGCCTCTGTGGGGATCTCAGGGTTCGCAGCAGTACCCGGCGTGCTCCTGTTCACGAAGCCCCATGTGCTTGAGTCGACCTCTTTCTCTGCAGGCAGGAGAGCGGCGTCGCCAGGCCTGAACACGCAAGAGATTAGTGGAAGAGGGCCATTGGCATCCACGTGCCGGGAGGCAGGCATCCTTCCTTGGCTCCGGGAATTCTCACAAAAACCAGCTGGCTCAGAGGCAGTCATGCCTACCAAAGAATATTAAAAATTTATGATCTGCTGGGTCTCAGCACCTTCATATTTCAAAATTCTCGGGCCCTCGGGAACAGGTTGTAGTCACAGATGTTTCCATTCGGTACTTGTTTTCCAGAAGGTGCTTGGAGCAAAGTTTAGCTCATCGGTGCATGTGACAGCACAGGACCCTATGGGAGAATGGCTTTTATGTCTTTGGGCTGACCAGTAGTTGTTGCTGTGGTCTGAGGCAGCTTCTGGAGCTGGATAGGTTTGGGGCGCTTCAGGTCCTGCACTGTTCCTTGACAGGGCTTATGAACAGTCCTGGGGGTTTGGCCCTCGGATCTTCTGCGCGCTGCCTTGTCTCGTTGGCCAGGCGGCCTGCTGTTGCAGCGTGGCTCTGATCCGTCCCCCGTGACGGACGCACGTCTGAAGACCGCATCTCCCCCAGCACACTTTGCTCCAGAGTCCTTTCCCCTCCAGCCTTGGTGCCAGGGAGCCCCCGGGAGCCACACTCCACCACTAGGGTGCTTTCCTTCTGACCGGGCCTGAAGCCGGTGGTCCCCGTGGGGAGCTGCCATGCCACTGGTGTGATCATTCTCACCAGGCACTGGTCATCGGCTCCACCGTGGAGGCCTTGGTCCCTTCGCCATTGACTCTCCGTTCTTTGCTTGCAGAATAGGTGACCCTTCGGGACCCAGGGAACCCCAAGAGCCAACCAGCCCTGGGGTTGGAAATGACCGCACACCATTAATGGGTGATTTCTTTCTCTGTTCCAGGTTCCAGGTGTGTGATGGTGGCTGCAATCTGTCTTGTGGGTATTAATGCAACCTTCAGTGGTGGCTGCTGTTCTCAAGCTGTTCTACAAAACTGGAGCGTGCTGGTGAGTGGCAGTGAGAGGCTGAACAGGCCCTCTGGGGAGGCAGTGTGTCCTGGGCGGGGCACGGTGATGGAGACCAGTGTGCTCGGATCATCGCACCAGCGTCCTCTGGGAGGGATCCCAGGCATCTGGGGATGGGGCCCAGCAGTCCAGGTGTTAACTGCACCCCCACCCAGATGATTCTGCTGGGCGCCCTAGGTTGAGACGCGCTGGTGTGGAGCACTGCAGTCAGGGCTTTGCTTTTGATGACCTCGTCCAGCCACAGGTGCTTAAGAAAGGGCATCCTGGGAGGGCGGGGGGCGGGGGGTTCTGCAGACTCTGCCCACACGGTCTGTGCCACAGCAGTGGGACGAGCTGTTCCACCGATGGGAATTTACAGATAAATAGACTCTTGCGCCTTTTTTGGAAGTTACCCATTTTGTTGAGAATCTTTTAGATGTGGCATGTGTATTCCCCGACTTCATCCGTTGTACTGAATGTAGTATAGCCCTCTCTCAGGGACGCAGAAATGTTTTCATGAGCCTCTTTGGAAATGAGTGGTTGCCCTTGGGCATAGCTGAACGAGACAGGGCGCTCACTACCTCCTCCCTTCTGGGCTTTCCTGTTGGCTGATGATGTCAGTGATTTGCGGTTCATCAGTTTCTAGGAGGAAGTGTAGTCTCCGGCAGTGGTGTCGCATTCCCACAGGTGACCGGCCTGCTGGCTGCTGTGCAGAGGGGCTTCCAGTTGCTCTCCAAAACTTGGCCTAAAACAACAGGAGTGCTAAGGGCAGGCCCGAAGCAATTATGTCTCAGCCCAAATAAGGTGGTGAATTTCATCCCTACAAGGGGCCAACGAAGAAAAGATGAGTCAGAAAGAGGGCAAGATTCTTGCTAAGGACAGAGAACCAGGCAGATCTAGCCAAGGAGGTCATTACCACATTTTTGGGACTTAGGTATTTCTTGCTCAGAGTAGAGCCATCCAGAGGCAGGCAAGCCGTGTGCGCCGTGTTTCACAGCCCAGCTCCTCGGCCTGGACAGGAGGCCAGCAGCCTGCACTTGGGGTCTTTCTGCCCACTGATGTTTGTCACACTGACCAAACTTAGCAACAGGGAAGGTTTTTCCACATCACGTGGGGCAGCTGATGTTTATCCCACCAGTGCTACAGCCTATTAGGTTGTCTTTTTGTCCTGGTTCTTCATAGCAATGCCCACGTATGCTTACCAATGTTATCACCTGGTAAAACCTTTTTGTTTTTTAAAGGTTTTATTTATTTTATTAGAAAGCAAGCATGAGTGTGAGTCGGGGGAGGGGCAGAGGGAGAGAGAGTCCCAAGCAGACTCCGCGCGGAGCCCGAGGCGGGGCTCAATCTCACCATCCTGAGATCATGACCTGAGCTGAAATCAAGAGTCTGAGGCTTACCCGACTGAGCCACCCAGGTGCCCTATGTAGGACCCTTTTAAAGGACGAGATCTTGTTTTTTTCTTCCCCCTTCTCTGGCACACTTTAAAGACCAATTTAAACCTACCCATGTAATTTTTTGGAAGTAGGTTAGAATAATGATTTTCTAAATGTAATAAATGAACCCAAACATCAGTAATTCCAGGCAATGCAGATGAGCCCAGTAGCCAGAGCATGGGGTGACCTCATTTAGACAACAGAAGGGCCTGGTGACCTGGAGCAGGAAAGGGGTGGGAGTAGCCCTGGGACTCGGGGCAGCAGAGAGCTTGCAGGCGGCCAGCCAGCACGACCAGATGAGCCGGAGGGCGCCTTGCCACTACCTGTGTTCAGCATGGGGCTCACCGGTTCTGGGGCCGCCCGTGGGTTACAAGAACAAGTCTGGAGGTGGCCCACTGCCGGCCAGCACTGCTCCGACCTGGACCACCAGGGGGCCGAGCCCTCTCTGGCCAGGTGTGGGAGCGGGAACCCACGCGGGGAGGTGGGCTGCTGGTGCGAGTTCCTGGGGCCCATGGGCGCCCGCGTGCAGGGGCAGGTGAGGATGTGTGTTTAGGATGCGGAGGAGGAGTTTCCAACTACAGAAGACTGGTCTCCTGAGACTAGCCTGTGAACCTTTTAAAATGTTAGTGAGGCTTTTTATTACAAATTAATACCAGTATTCGGTTTTTACAGCTATAAAATGAAAACTGGTCCATGTTTATTGGGAGTTGGGTAGAGGGAACTGTTCTTTATCTGACTCTGGATAAAAATGAATACATTTAGAGAAACTCTTGGGAAAGAAATCATTAGTAAATAGGCCAACTGTATGTAGTAGGAGGAGGGAAACAATTTTCTTACTGCTGGGAGAAGGAGCCCAAAGTTAAGTGGGGGGAGAGCAGGCCCGGCCGGGTCTGGCGGTGTGCCCATGGCAGCCAGCAGCAGCAGCTGTGCCCAGTCCTGAGGGCCACAGGCTGATCTTTTTGCTCAAGGACAAGGGACATGAAATGTTTCAGAACTATAGAACATTCTTTCAGACAGCAGACATTCTCTATGGTCTTACACGGGACAGTGGTGACCTGCCTCTGACAAGCTTTATTTCATCTACTTCCCTCTGTCTGTCCGTTGACTGCCATTCAGGAAAGGCTGTGAGGAGAAGCTGCTCTGCAAACAGAGCCTGACCCTCTCCCACCCCGCCCCCATCCCTCCACGGTGCTCCGTGTTCCCGGATGTCTCTGTATTCTGTTTAAAATGTCCTTGTTAATACATTCCAAAGTTTGAACTCCGTTCTTAGCTAAACCCCTTCCTTGTTTACAGGGACTGAAATAGCCACATTCTGACCTTCTGTTCAGTCTGGGAACATCTATGGCAATGTGGACACATTCTTTTCCCATGTGAGAATTACATATCCACAGCACAGTTATGGAAAAGCTCGGGAAACTATCAGCTCTCGTCCCCCCTTCTCTCTTCCCTCCTCTCTCCTGTGGTTTTCCCTTCAAAGCCTTCCTCCTCAGCCAGAATGCGCCTCGCTTCCTGCTCGAGTGTCCAGGAAGAGGGGGACAGAGTCCTGGGAGGTCAGGGTCGGCTGCTAAAACCCCGGGGCAGCTGGACGCACCCTCCTTTTCCCCCCTTCACGTGCCTCTTGGGAAGGCCCCCATCAGGGCCAGAGCTGCTCTGGGAGGGTGCTGAGGGGCCCCCGGGCACAGGCTCCTGGCGCTCAGCCAGGGGCGTTATCCCGACTCAGGAACCAGGTCTCAGTGCCACATGCCATTAGCTGTCTGTCGCTCCCATTTCCTTTACTGCCCTGCAGTGCAGGGGGTCTGACGTTTTGCTACATGCAAGTGACTGTGTCTGGGGTGAAGGCAGGAGGATGTAGTCTTAGGGAGGAAAATAACCTCAGCTGATCCTTGAGGAAGCCAAACAAGGGGCCTGGACAGTGAGGACGCCCAGTGGGAGCTCTGGAAAGCCCTGCAGGGGAGCGCTCACACTGGGTTCTGAGAGCGCGGAGTGTGTAAGAGCAGGAGGAAGAGCTGTACCACGTGTTCTTGTCCTAAGTGGATTAGGACCAGGCTTTCGAGGGCCTCGAGGGATGTGTTAGGGATTTGGGTCTCAGGGAGGCAGGAGGAAGTAGGAGGAGGTGTTTTCAGAATCTGTCAGCTGGCTGCCCACAGCAAAATGAAGAGCCGAGTCAGAAACACGTACCAGGAGAGGCGAGCCCGAGATGGTGACGGTGGGATGGGAAGTCACAGTCCTCCGAGAGAGCAGGGCTGTGTCCATGTCACCAGGGGCTGGTGGAAGGACGGAGACAAAGGCGGAGGGTCAGGAGGGGGAGCCATGTGAAGAAGGTAAAAGTCGGGAGTCTGGTTTAGACATGGTGCCTTCGAGGTCATGGCAGAAATGTCCAGGGTGCAGCAGACAGAATCAGAGAATCAGAACCTGGCCGTGGAATCAGGCCAGGAGTAGCAACGTGTTCTTGCCCAAAGGCAGTAGTTAAGCTCTTCAGAGGAGAAAGCTGACCAGCCAGGCCCCTGGCCAGGGCTGGAGAAGACCACAAGGCCTTGGTCCCTCCTAAGCGCGTGGGCAGGTGCCATCACAGGTGGCCAGTGTTCCTTTGCCTCTTCATTCCGTCCCTTCTCGGTCTCTGAAGGCAGTGTGGCAGCTTTGCTTTCAGACTTTGGTGTCGGGGCCGTGTCCCCACATGGAGGTTTGGCTGCTTTCCCAAGATGGCGCTCTCCAAGCCCAGCTTCTCTGACAGAGGCCTTTGGCAGCGTGCAGGCCCCTAAAGGTTCCCAGAGTCCGAGGGCTGCCGAGCGTCGTCCCCTGTGAATTGTTCCAAAGTAGGAACAGCCATAGGGGGACTGCTGTTCCTCAGAAACCGTTTCCTGGAACCAACACACAGCTTGGGCTGCTGGCTTGTGGTCAAGTTTGGGATGACGTGGGACTTGTTGCAAGCCTGACAAGCCATGAGAGTGGGGGAAAATGTCTTGTACCCACTTTGTCTAAGCAGGTTTTCTGCTCTGCGCATTCAGAGCTGGAGGTGCAAGGGGGTGCTGCCTCTTCCCACTCCGGAGTGGAGGCTCCTTTGGCAGTTCAAGGGCCCATCAGGCATTTGAGGGACCATTAGGTCCTGGGCCCACTGGGAAGGTCAGCTGCTCCAGGCCACACACACCCGGTGTCCACGCTGGTTACAGGTCAGGGTGTGGCCAAAGATGAAAAGAGTGGGCCCTTCTGGCCTTGTTCACGGTGCGGCACAGATCCTGTGACATGTACCCAACCAAGATGGGTGTGTGTCATCCTGGCCCACTCTGGTTTCTCCTCCCCCTTGGAGCACCTGCCGAGTGACTGGCGATGCCCCTCCTGTGCTGGGCACCAGGGGATCAAAGCAGTCGGAAAGTGAGATTTCTAGAAGGCGTTTCTTTCCCCGGACGCTCCCGGCATGTCCAAGCTCTGCTGAGAGTGTGAGGCGGGGGGGGGGGGGGGGGGGGGGGGGGGGGGGGGGGGGGGGGGGGGTCCCTGAGGTGGTGTGTGCAGGCCTCCCAGAGCTTGACCTGGGAGCATCTCCAGCGCCGGGCCTCTCGGTGAGTTAAACTGATGGACTAGCACGGTGGCCACAAGCTCGAGATGGGTGCATGTTACTCGAACGTGACAGGTGAGGCTCTGAATGACCTGCTCACTGCCCTTGAAAGCAGCACCCTGGTCTCTCCCTAGGGAGATTGTTCCATGAACCGTAGCTGTGTGGTTATGATGTTGCATCTTCTGACTCGTGGCCCCTTATTTCTGTCGTCACCTGCACACAGGCTATGCCACGATCTCCTGGGTCACAGTGTGGGTGCCCCAGCGCTGCAGACCTGGCTCAGATTTCCTAAAATCATCCAGTTCAGGCTGTTGGCGAGTGTTCATAGGAGGTTTCTCGCTTCAGGATTTCCTGCTGAATGCGCATCTTACCAAAGAAGCCTGACTTAGGATGGTCAGATGGGCTGTTGGTTACAGTGCTCTTTTCTTGACCGCTTCCTCCGCCACACAAACAAGCCTTTCCCTGTGGACAGTTCTAGTGTCTGTGGAGTTACTTCTGCCTAGACCTTTGTAAGACCTTTTCTACCTCCAAATTTGGGTCTGACGTGTTGGGAAGATGGCAAGAAAATAGGGACAGAGTAATAGTAGAGGTTTCACAGTGCAGCCTTTACAACAGTGAAGAAAACCGTGGGGCCACACTGGGACTCTGCAAGTGGCAAAGTCTCAGGAGGATTCGAAGCCACTTTTTTTTTTTTCTGGACCACGAAGCAAAACACAGGTGAACACTTCCTAGCAAGTGCGGGGGAAGGAGGTCTTGAAAAGTTTCTGGTAAGAGGGAAGTCTGTCCTGCCCGTGTCTGGGTCTACGGTGAAAACACGGCTGCTCTGGTGAGAGGTTGTGCTGTATGTGCCTACACACCCGTGAGTGTCGGGACGCCCCCAGGAGTTTCCCGGGGGAAGGCGGACTCACCCTCACATTTGTTCTTTCTGTTTCAGGCTTGAAAACACCTTGCCCAGTTTTGTCCCTTCAAGACTTTGCCACAGCCTCTATCACACATCTGTTTTTCTCGAAGAAACAAATATAATAAAAATGTTTTACTCTTTTACACTGTATAATTTTAAAAAATAGTGTGTTATTTGTGAACGCATGGTCTGACATTTCTGTACAGTTTGGAGATATTTTCAAACGAAACATAAAAGATATCAACAATAAAACCAAGAGAGTGAGTATTTTTATACCAAACATTTTAAGTGTGAGAGGATGGATGATCTTACACTGGGTTGGATCACAGTTTTTGTGCTTGACTTTTGAATGCTTGTAATTAAAAATATCTATTTTTTTTTCCTCCAAGCTGCATGTTTGAGGCATGTTCTTAAATACTACAGAATTTCCAGAATTGTATGTGAATGTATAGGCGTCCACCTGCCTGGCCGGAGCGCAGGGTAAGGTAGGGACAGAACGGCGAGCTACAGCCCTACTAGGTGCATGCTTCCTCCCCTCACCCCCACCCCCTGGTTCTAGTAGGGAGCTCCTGCGGGAGGAGCTGAAGCCCCCACACAGGCGCACGCTGTCCGAAAACACTGGCCGCTCCCAGGGGGCCTGTGCAGACTGTGCCCCGGGGTGGGTTCTGCCCTTCACTTAGGCTTCTCCTGCTCCCAGCTCACCCAGAGTGTGAGACCCACTGAGGCACACTTCCCCGAGAGGGGGAAGGGGAGGCTGGCCCACCTCACAAGGGAGCCGGTTGCTATAGGCAGCTAGCTCCTGTCTCCCACGTGATTTTGCAAAACGCAGGCGTGTGCTCCCCTGGGCACTCCCCAGCCCACCAGCCCCAGGAGGGAGGGCACAGCTCAGCTTACTTCAAAACCCAAGTGTGGTGGCTGAAGCAGACCCCGCTCCAGAGTCCCACGGCTCAGTCTCTCCTTGTGGTAGAAGAGCCATGTGTAAAAATAAATTGACCTAAGAATTTTCACCGGCTGCTACAGCTCAGCGGGATACTAGCTTATTCAACCGTGGTGCTGAAGACTTAAGTGTTCTGGGGTGGAGAGTTACTATTTTCCATTAGAAGTAAGACATCAAGAAGCTTTTTAAAGGTCATTACCCAAAAAAGGGAACAAGAAGAGCCAGGGTTGAGGGAGGGGCACGGCCAGCAGCATGGGGAGGGGAGGTAGGGGGTTTGCTTCGTTCAGACCCTGCTGGATGCCCCCCTACCCTGACTTTCTAAGAAAAATCACGGCTGCCACACAGCCTACTATACTTTTATAAAGTGTGTAATTTCTATGGTCATTTTCAAAAATAAAATGCTTTTCCCAGCGGTCACACCATTGCTTGGCACATTCCCTTCTGCAAGATCAAGCAAGAGCGGCCCCGGCAGCTTCCTTTGCGTTCTGAGCAATAGATAGAGCTGAGGACTGAGGGACTAAGGAAGAGGATAGGGACAGGCCAGTCAGGGCGCAGCCGCTACAAACGCTCAGCTGGGGGCCCCGGTGACACATGGGCCTCTGGCCCTGACTGCCCTGGCAAGAGGAGCTCAAGGTAGGTTCACACCGTTCCTGATGCCTTTTACTGTGCCCAGCCGACTCCGCCCCCACGGCAGCCTGTGGAGCAGGAGCTCGGGTCCATCTGCATCCATGAAGGGTCATTAGTGGTTTTCGGCCAACTTCACGGGTAAACCAGGTGTCGACAGCTAGGAGGACAGTGCGGAGCCCTACTCCCACTGGCCCATCCCTTGTGCCCCAAAAGGGAAGCTCTGGAAATAACCCACAGTGCTCCGTTCAGAGTAAAAGCAACTACCAATAGTGACTATTACCTAGTAGTCTTGGCGAGCATGGCCGTTTCTGTCCCTTTTTGCAGAGGGACCACCCACCAGAAACAGGTCCCAGTCGTGCCTGCCTGGGAGTGTGGGTATGGCCGGAGAAGGCCGGTCTGCAGCTTGCCTCGGCCCATCTGTGACCTCCCACCACGCGGCCACCAGACATGCCGGGCCGCTTGCCCCAAGGGGATGCCCTCCCTCTCCAGCCTGCCGCGGGCCCTCATCCTGGCTGTCAGCTCTACCTCTCCACGTCCAGACGCTTCGTCACAAAGGGCCTTGGGCTCGGTGAACCCGTGCCCCCGTCAGCACTGTGCTGCTGGCCATAGGTGACATTCAAGTGACCAGACTGGATGGTACTTACCAGTCTAGTGTGAGTGCCAGACACGTTCCCACGGACTGGTGAAACATCCACTTCGTGACAGGAGGAGAAACAATCTCTTCTGTCAATCTGTTGAGCAGGAATACGGTGTATCTTTTGGAATTGGGAACCTGGGATAAGAAAAAGGCAGGTCTGTCTGTTCCCTCTGCTTCCATGCATAATGTTCCAGTGTGCAGAGCCTGGAATGTGGCCACTAAGCCATCTGGTTACCAAGTGACCCTTTTGTTCTCCTGTTCACTTGTACCCCTTGTGAGCACAAGACTAGCTATCAAGCTATAAAACTGACACCTGAAACTAAACACTCTGCCTTCTGCCTCTGGGACAAAACTGCAAATTAATTTGGAAAAGAATCTTAAAACTGGCAGAATGGAAGTTACCCCTCCCGATGATCATCCAGATTCACCGGACCCAGGGCTTGCACAGACGGTGAACCAGCTGCCAATCACTGCCCTCCTCTGTGAGGTTCACCCAAAGCCCAGGACCTCATGGCATCTCGTGTCCTGACTTGTGTGGCGTAAGGAACGTTCTTGTGACTGGAGGAGGAGTGGCTGATTTCCCTGAATTCTCTTTCTCTACAGAGGTTTCGGGGCACTGGGAATCCATTAGCAACTCCTGAGGGCTCTGGGCAGGGCACACTTAGTGTGAGGAGTGTGTTCAGATTCCCCCATGTTCCACACCACTGGGGTGCCCGGCTGTCGAGGAAAAAGGGCATTCCTGCCCAGTTTAAAGAGCAGCGGCACATGGTTGCACTTGACCTTCAACTCCAGATCCCGTGCCCTCTTGATACCACACATGTCCAACATCCTTAAGAGGCACAAGAACATCTGTTACTGGTGAGGTGTTCTCTCAAACTGTCCTCAGGACGCCTATGCTAAAACACACTGACAATCTTGGGGTGGTGATTTCAAGCCCCAAGTAGGGCAGACAGATCACTTTTCAAAATGTCCACTCACTTGACATGACACTCCCGGGACAGCACAGGGACACATGATCCAAGGTTCAGTTAGTGTAGACACAGGTCCTAGAAGCCTCCGCCTCTCAGGGAACACCTACCGGGACAAGCCAGGACACGCTCGCAAAACACATACCAGGAAAGAACATCCCATCCTCCCTACATGAAGCCCCGAGGACGGCAATAAATGGATGATGGGCCATCACTGCTGTCCACACGACCACCCCAGCTTTGTCACACAGTGTGTGTGGCCTTGGCTTGTTGAGAACCACCCAAAAAAGTCTCAGGAAACCCCAAATCCTCTGGTAAGTGAAACCTATAAATACAGCAGCTACAGGGAAGAGTCTCCTCTGTGCCAGAGAATTGCCATTGGCTGGTAGTAAATGGGAAATTTATGAATCCAAATGCCAAAATCCCACATTCGGAACAGGTTTTGTCTGCTTGTGACCTCCAAGAGCTCCCCAAACAAACCGCGGACTGTGTGTTCGCAGACCAGAAGCAGTGGGTATCCCCGCCTGGCCTTCTCGCAAGGACTCTGCTCCCTGGCTGCAGGGCTCCCCTCCGTCCCCGGGTCCCACCACCTTCTCACCACACTGCTAGGGAGTGACAGCAGCAGCTGGATGTTCCTTATTACATTTTTGTCCAGGCACAACTCCATTTCTCTTAGCTCTCCCCTAAAAGTTTCCAATGACTGTCCTCAATTACACATTAAAATGCACAGCAGATTGTCTTCACCTCTGAAATCCGCCACCCACGTCCACTCCCACTCACTTCTAGATAGCCAAGTCTGGCAGAGATGAGCAGAGGCAAGAATGGGACTTCAACTCGAACTTGAATTTCAGGTGAGTGTTTTTAGACACCCAGAAGAACTGGGTGTCCTTCCTTTTATCGTGACACAACTGGAACCCTCTCACAGTTTCCCACCAAAACTACAATTCTCCTCGCATGTCACCAGGTGGCACAATCCTCAGGCCACCAGAAGGGGTAGATGGAGAAATTCCTCTTCCACATAGCAGCCAGAGGGGATCAAGGCACAACACAAAAAAATGCAAGTCAATGAGGTAAAGCTACAGAATTTGCAAGTGTGACAACTGAGCAAAATACTGCCTTTCTACATCTCAATTTACTTCTTTGTGAAAGTTTGGACAAAAGATATCAACAAGCCAGATTACAATACTGGCGAACACAGGGTTAGCTAGAAGCTACTACTCACACACACCTGGTAGCAAAGTAGCTTACCTTCAACTCTGTGCTGGCGGCCTTCACGTATGTCTCCTTGCACACAAGATGAAGTGCTTGAGATGTCCAAAATGCATTTCCAGACCTAGCCAATGAAACAGAATGGTGACAGGTGATATCACCAAGATGGTGACATAGGTCATTCCTGACTTTGCTCCCCATCACAAAAACAAGTATACAAGGAAAAGACCACTGAGAGAATTCTGGAACACAAAGAGGAGGCTGAAGCACCCTTCTGAACCACCCCTCCCCTTGGCCTTGGTTTCTCTGGTGGGAAAAACAGCCAGCGTGGTCAGCAAGCTTCCCAACATTGTGGGTCACATCTTCGGAGCCCCAGCTTGGGTCTGGCCGCACCAGGATTTCAGGGGATCTGCGGAGCTTGACCACTGGCAATCTGACCATGAGAGAAGAGGAAGAAGGGGTTGCAACAACCAGCTCTCCGATCTTGGCGGCAAGAGTTCCTACCTGCAGCGCCCAAGCAGCGGTCCCAACCCGCGGTCCCAACCCGTGGCTTATTCATCTGCAGAAGTCAGTCAGTGATGTGGTCTGACGAGGGGACCCGGTAGGAAGCAGGGCTGCCTGATCTAGGTCCTCAAATGAAGCAACTTTCCAGCCCTGGAGGGAGCAGAGTCCTAAGCCTGCCCACGGCTGAGTGGAGCTCTTGACCCCGCCCAACCAGAAAGCCTGGAAAGCTGCGCAGCCCACAACGTTCGAGCAGGGAGTCCGGCAGGCAGGTCTCCAGAGTCTGCAGAGCGAAGCTGGGGGCCCGTCCAGCCAGAGGGTTTGGGATGTGGGTTGGCTTGAGTCAAGACAACAATCTTACCGACCTTGAAGCTGGTTCTGCTGAGCCTGGGCAGGGACTTGAATCCATAGGCCCACCCACGGCTGAAGACAGCTTGCAGCCCACGCACAAGGGAACTGCACCAGTGCCCACAGGGAGCCGCCAGCACCACCAACAGCCCCTGCTCCCCGTAGCACTGGAACTGAACAGTGTGTACTCCCCATCCACAGAGTAAATCATGGGCCCTGACTAGCCAGGGAATTCAGGCTATAGTCACACCTGATTTGGGTACCAAACACTGAGCCATGCAGGCCCAGGGCCTGTCCTACTACCTGACTGCCGCAGAGAGCCCAATTCGTAGCCTAGCCTACTGAGTAACTCCGTCCTGACCATCTAGAAAGCCTGACCAGAGAAGCTAGGGAACCCCAGAGTCTATCCTCTAGACTCACTCTGCCAGGGAACCAAGCAAGCAGTCCTAGCCAACTGTTCTCAGCCAGTATGACCCCCAGCCCCGAAGCTCAGAGGCTGGGCAATGGCTTCATCAAAGAAGAGAGCTGACAGCAAGACCTACCTGCCCAATGATGTCACTAGCAGATAATCCAGAAGCCCAAACTAAGCTGACTGGTGAGGAACTGTCTCTGCTAAAGTAAACATGTACAGTTCAAAAGAAGTGGAGATCTACAAACTGTCCAAGAATTCAAAATTTAGTTTAGTAAATTACACAATGTGAGAAAAACAATAAATGAACAAAACGAGAAGTTCAACAAGGAAATAGAAACCATTAAAAAAAATCCCAGGGACGCCTGGGTGGCTCAGTTGGTTAGGCAGCTGCCTTTGGCTCAGGTCATGATCCCAGCATCCTGGGATCGAGTCCCACATCGGGCTCCTTGCTCATCAGGGAGCCTGCTTCTCCCTCTGCCTCTGCCTGCCATTCTGCCTGTGCTTGCTCTCTCTCCCTCTCTCTCTCTGACAAATAAATAAATAAAATCTTAAAAAAAAAAAAATCCCAAAGCTGAAAATACAATGACTGCAGAGGCATTTAATGAAAACATTCACAAACTGAGGGTTGCCAGAGGGGGTGGGGGTTGGGAGGGATGGGGTGGCTAGGTGATGGACACTGGGGAAGGTATGTGCTATGTTGAGTGCTGTGAATTGTGTAAGACTGATGATTCACAGACCTGTACCTCTGGGGTAAATAATACATTATACATTAATTTAAAAATAAATTTTCTAAAAATCTTTAAAATAAAAAAATAAAGAGTTTCAAAAGTAGTAGAATCAGCAACCTGGGGGAAAGGACACTAGAAATTATCCAGTCAGAGGAACAAAAAGAAAAAAAAATGGAAGAGAGTTAAGAATACCTTGGAGATTTACTAGACAGTCAAAAGAAACAATATTCATGTGATGGGAATTCCAAAAGATGAAAAATAGACAAAGTATATTTAAAGCAATAATGGCCGAAGACTTTCCAAACCTGGGAGAGAAATGGACATCCAGATCCCCAAGGCCCAAAGGACCCCAATTAGACTGAACCCAAATAGGAATACACCAAGACACATTTTTAAAAAATTGTCGAAAGTCAAAGACAAAGAATTTTGAAAGCAGCAAGAATAAAGTAAATTACAGACAAAAGAACCCACATACAAATATTGGGTATTTTTTTTAAGATTTATTTACGGGGCAGCTGGGTGGCACAGTCAGTTAAGCATCTGCCCTTATCAGGTCATGATCTCAGGGTTCTTAAGGGCTTCCAGATCAGCGGGGAATCTACTTCTCCCTCTGCCCCTCCCCATTTTGTGCACGCTCTCTCTCAATATTTATTTATTTGACAGAGCAAGTGAGCGAGTAAGCATGGGATAGCAGAAAGGGGGACAGAGGGAGAGAAAGAATCCCAAGCAGACTCTATGTTGAGCGCAGAGAACTCAACCTCACAACCTGAGCCAAACCAAGAGTCAGACGCTTAACTGACTGTGCCACCCAGGCGCCCTACCAGAGGATTTCTAATCAGAAACATTTCAGGCCAGGGAATAGGATGACATACTAAAATCATTGAAAGAAAAAAAAAAAACTGTCAACCAAGAATTCTATACTTGGAAAAGCTGGCCTTTAGAGGTGAGGAAAAATACTTTCCCAAACAAACAAAAGCCAAGGTAGTTTAACACCACTAGACCTCCCTAATAAGAAATGCTGAAGGGAGTCCTTAGAAGGGAAGTAAAAAATATGCTAATTAATACTGAAAAAAACAAAGAAAGCATGAGACTTACTGGTAATGGTAAATACATAGTCAAAATTAGATTCTGTACCATGGTAATAGCAGTGCGTAGCGCACTTACAACTCTAGTTTAAAAATTTAAAAACACAGGAAAAAGAATAAAAATAATAATCTGTTATTATTTACACAATATTAAAAATATATAAACAATACCAATAACCTAAAGTGTGAGCAGGACGGTAAGTATAAGTGTAAAGTTTAGAAATCCTATTAAAGTTATCAGGTTAAAATAAGGTGTTATAATTTTAATATATTTTATATAAGCTTCATGGTAAGCACAAGGAGAAAACACAGTAATTATACAAAAGAACATGACAGAGAAGTCAAAGCATACTGATATCAAAGGGTATCAAAACAAAAAAAGACAAAATTTGAAACAAGGAACGGATCTACAAATCTACAAAAATGGATCTAAAAATTTAATAAATAGCAACAATAAGTCTCTATCAATAATTACCTTAACTAAATTAAATTCTGCAACTGAAATACACAGAACACATTGACTGTATTAAAAAATAAGACCTAGGGCGCCTGGGTGGCTCAGTGGGTTAAGCCTCTGCCTTCGGCTCAGGTCATGATCTCAGGGTCCTGGGATCGAGTCCCGCATAGGGCTCTCTGCTTGGTGGGGAGCCTGCTTCCTCCTCTCTCTCTCTGCCTGCCTCTCTGCCTACTTGTGATCTCTCTCTGTCAAATGAATAAATAAATTCTTTAAAAAAAAAAAATAAAATAAAAAAATAAAAAATAAGACCTAATGAAAATGCTGCCTACAAGACACTCACTTTAGCCTTAAAGACACACACAGACTAAGATTGAAGGGATGGTAAAGATATTTCAAGGAAATTATATCCCCCCAAAAAAACCAATAACCAGTAGATATATATATATCAGACAAAATAAACCTCAAATAAAAATGGTAAAAAGATACAAAGGTCATCATATAATGATAAAGGGGTCAATCCTTCAAGAAGCTGTAACAATTGTAAATATTTATGCACCAAAATCAGAGCATCCAAGTATATAAAGCAAAAACTAACAGAGCTAAAAGGAAAAATAAAAAGCAATACATTAAGAGTTGGGGGCTTTAATACCCCGCTCTCAATGATGGATGGATCATCCAGACAGAACCAATAGGAAACAACAGATCTGAACAATGCTTACAGACCAAATGGACCTAACAACCATATACAGAACATTCTATCTGAAAACAGCAGGCTACATATTCTTCTCAGACACACAGGGAATATTTTCTAGGATAAACCAAATGCTGGGCCAAAAAAATAAATCTTAGTTAAATTTTTTTTTAAGATTATTTATTTAAGAGATAGAGACAGAATGTGTATGTGCAGGAGAGCACAAGCAAGGGGAGCTGCAGAAGGGGAGGGAGGAGCAGACTTCTCGCTGAGCAGGGAGCCTGATATGGGGCTCAATCCCAGAACCCCAAGATCATGACCTGAGCCAAAGGCAGATGCTTAACTGACAGAGCCACCCAGGTGTCCCAAGTCTTAGTAGACATAATAAGGTTGATATCAGGGGGCGCCTGGTGGCTCAGTTGTTAAGAGTCGGCCTTCAGCTCAGGTCATGAAACAGGGTCCTGGGACCCAGCCCCACATCAGGCTCCCTGCTCAGCCGGGAGCCAGCTACTCCCTCTCCCACTCCCCCTGCTTGTGTTCCCACTCTTGCTGTGTGTCGCTCTCTCTCAAATACATAAAATTAAAAAAAAAAAAAAAGTTGAAATCGTGCCAAGTATCTTCTCTGACCACAATGGTATGAAACTAGAAATCAACAAAAGAAGGAAAACGGAGAAATTCACGAATACATGGAAACTGAATGCTCTCATGAACCACCAGTGGATCAAAGAAGAAACTAAATGAGAAGTAAGTATCTTGAGACAAGACAAAAATGGAAACACAATCTACCAAAACTTATGGGATGCAGCAAAAGCAGTTTTATTTTTTTAAATTTGAGAGAGATAGAGAGCTCATACACATAAGAAGGGGGAGTGCCAGGCAGAAGGAGAGGGAGAAGCAGGCTCCCTCCTGATCAGTGAGCCAGATGTGGGACTCGGTCCCAGGACCCCGGGATCATGACCTGAGTGGAAGGCAGACGTTTAACTGACTGAGCCACGCAGGCGCCAGCAATAGCAGTTTTTTTTTTTTAAGATTTTATTTATTTATTTGACAGAGAGAGAGTGATTACAAGTAGGCAGAGAGGCAGGCAGAGAGAGAGGAGGAAGCAGGCTCCCTGCTGAGCAGAGAGCCCGATGCGGGGCTTGATCCCAGGACCCTGGGATCATGACCGGAGCCGAAGGCAGAGGCTTTAACCTGCTGAGCCACCCAGGCGTCCCTAATAGCAGTTCTTAAAGGGAAATTCGCAGCAATAAACACCTACAGTAAAAACAAGAAAGACCTCAAATAAACAACCCAACTCTAAGCATTAAAGAATTAGAAAAAGAACAAAGTGAGCCAAAAGTGAACAGGAGGAAACAAATAATAAAGATTAAAGCAAGAGTAAATATGATAGGCGTACCTGGGTGGTTCAGTAGGTTAAGCACCTGCCTTCGGCTCAGGTCATGATCTCAGAGTCCTGGGATGGAGGCCTGTGTACGGCTCCCTCCACTGCAGGGAGTCTGCTTCTCCCTCTGCCTGTCCCCCTGCTCATGCTCATTCTGTCTGTCTCGCAAATAAATAAATAAGTAAATAATAAAAAACTAGCTGTGAAAATTTTTAAAAATTAATATGACAGAGAACAGAAAAATGGAAAAGATTAACCAAGGGGATGGTTCTTTGAAAAGATAAAATTGACAAACATTTAGCTAGACTAACCAAGAAAAAGATTCCAAGTCAACAAAATTATAAATGAAAAACAAAACATTACAACTGATACCATGGAAATACAAAGTATCCTAAGAGGCTACTATGAACAACTATACACCAAACTGGACAACCTAGAAGAATTAGAAAAAAACTTGTTTTGTTTTCTTTTTTCTAAGTAAGCTCTATGCTCAACATGGGGCTTAAGTTAGGATACCAGTATCAAGAGTTTTGTGTTCTACTGAGACAGCCAGGCTCCCTGAAATGGGAAATTTTTTTGGAAAATACAACCTACCATGTCTGTATCGAGAGTAAGTAGAAAATCCAAAGAGACCAATTACTATTTAGAAACTGGGTCAGCAATCAAAAATCCCCCAACAAAGAAAAGCCCAAGACTAGATGTCTTCAAAGATGTGTTTTACCAAGGATTTTAAGAATTAATGCCAATCCTTCTCAAAATTTTCCAAAAACTCAAAGAGGAGAAAACACTCCCAAATTCATCTTATAAGACAGGCAATGGTACCAAAGCCAAAAAAGGACATCACTAGAAAACATATATAGGTCAATATCCCTCATGACACATATGCAAAAATTCTCAGTAAAATACTGGCAAACCAAATTTGGCAACACATTATAA